TGCTCCTGCAGCAGGGAGAAGATATGGATTTGCATCCCGTAGCCTATTGTAGTCGGAAACTGTCAGCTGCAGAACGCAACTATACTGCGGCCGAGAGGGAAACGTTGGCTGTGGTATTTGCATTAAAGTGCTGGAGAATCTATCTATTCCGCCACTTTGACCTGATGACTGATAATATGGGTGTTGTCTATTTACGAACCAAACCGACTCTCACCAAGCGTGAGGCAAGATGGGTAGAGTTTTTAGCTGACTATGACTTTACGGTCTTTCACAAACCAGGAAAGAAAAACATTGCCGACCCGCTTTCACGCCGTCCAGATCTGTTCAGTGATTCTGAAATAGGCGGGTCATCCTATCCTCCTAACATTCAGTTGAATGCCATAGAGCATACCCTAGAGATTAATCCAGACTTAGCGCAGTTAATTGTCAGCGGTTACAAGTGCGACAAGGATCTTGCTCCCATTATCAGGAGACTGAAAAATTCAAGCCATGACAATCTGCACGACCGTTACCTTCTAAATGAAACACCCGGTTATCTTTATCTCAGATCTTCACCACAGAACAGGTTATGAATTCCAAAGAGTAGCAAACTCCGACTCGCCCTGCTTCAAGAATACCATGACTGTGTGACTGCGGGGCATCCCGGTCGAGATCGCACCTATTTCAGACTCTCTAGATATTTCTATTGGCCCAGAATGGGACTGGATGTAAAGGCGTTTGTCAAGTCATGTGACGTCTGCCAACGAGTTAAAGGCGGCCAGCTAAAAACTGGTCTCTTGCAGAATTTACCAGTGCCCAGTCAGCCGTGGGCGGATATCTCGATGGATTTTATCATGGGTTTGCCTAGGACCGATACAGGTCATGATGCTATATATGTATTTGTAGACCGCTTGACAAAGTGTGTACATTTAGCACCTACTTCCTCTACTATTGACGCTAAAGGAAGTGCTGATCTGTATATTCAACATGTATTTCGACTTCATGGTTTGAGTTCTAGTATTGTATGTGATCGTGATCCAAGATTTACGGCAGCATTTTTTCAGGAATTGTTTGATCGCTTAGGAACGAAACTAGCATTTAGTACTGCCAATCACCCTCAGACAGATGGCCTAACTGAACGAGTAAACAGAATAGTAGAGGATGTGCTGAGGGCTTTTGTAAATCATAAACAAGATAACTGGGATATGCTCCTACCTCTCTGTGAGTTTTCTATCAACAGCGCTACTCAATCATCTACAGGAAACACACCGTTCTTCTTAAATTACGGTCTAAATCCCAGAGCGCCACCCGACTTCCTCAACCCTATTCAGGGAGGCAGAGATTCAGCTGATTGGTTGCAAGCAAGACAAGACGCGGTCAAGATCTCACAAGATGCGCTAGTGGCAGCTCAAGCTCGTCAGGCCTTCTATGCAGATCGGACAAGGGTCGAGGGAAAGCTGAAGGTGGGAGATTTGGTAATGGTCTACCGGGATTTCCTCCTGACTCCTGAAGCTCGGGACCGACCATCCCATAAATTACGCCCCAAGTGGTTTGGCCCCTTTCCTATAACCCATGTGGTCGGCCCGAATGCCTACAAGCTCAAGTTGCCTCATACCAGCCGCTGTCACCCGGTATTTAATGTGTCGGCACTCCGTGCCTACGAGAAGAACGCTATTCCTAATAGGAGACAGCCTACGCCTCCGCCTATCACGGACCTTGATGGTCATGCCCGCTATGTGGTGGAGAACATTCTCAGTCACCGCCGCCGGCAGAATCAGCTTCAGTACCTAGTCAAGTGGCAAGGCTACTCTGATGCCACTTGGGAGCCTGAACATTATTTGTTGGATGAATCTGGTAATGACATTGTTCCACTTCAGAAGTACAAAACCTTGGCTTCTGCCCGCTGAGTTTTGCAGTTGAACTTCTAGTTTCACCTTACACATTTGTTGAGCTTATTACACTTTATTTGCATGGAGTTTCAGTCGTCTTATTGTGTTACTTCAGTGCGAAGCCTTTTTTCGTCTCGCACGTGTTTGCGCTTATTGTACTCTATTCCACTTGAGCATTTGGGTTATAAGCTCCTTCCTCTCCATAGGAGGGGGATGATGTAACAGTTTTCCCCTGTTCTCTATAACTTTACACTCCCTCGCACCTCATGCGTCTTACGCCTGTCTATTAGCACCTTCATTGGCGCCATTGCCACGTGTATACTATCACATTTTGCATATAACTGGTCAAGGCACGCTCAACCAGGCCTCTTACTTTTCAAGTTTGATTAAACCTGTTACACACTCACACTAGTACACTGCCAGCGCATGGATTCGGGCGTGCTTAGCCTGACGTCGTACAACTGCTTCCTTTGAACTTTCTCTTTCTTTCTTGCTGTTGGCTTCACTTCAAAGACTAGTCTAATTAGCGGTGACTTTTAGCTTGTGCCAGCACCAAATTTTCACCCTCCATCCCTCCCATTTAATCATCTTCCTAATGGAACTATGGAACATTTAGCTCTATCGCTCCTAACTGGTCACTTGCTTCGCTAGTTGCGGCTCTTCACGAGCCAGTTGTTGCCAATTGCATTGGCTTTGCCTTGCAACCCCATTGTGGCACAATGTGGGTTTATTGCGGCTCCTCGCGAACCAGTTGCTGCCAGTGGCCTGGCATTGCTTTCCAGGTCTTCGAGCTTTTGCATTACAAGACCAGTTACTCGAAGCAGCACACCATCTCCAAAACAATTCCTTGTTGAATGGGCTGAGTATGAGTGTGTGAGGGATATGGTGCTAATTAAACACTACAACATGTAAAGAAAGAAGAAAACCAAAAATTCAAGAAATGAAACTCGATTATGAAATCAAAATGGAAATTTGAAAAAGTCTAATCAAATGAAAACTCAAGGCAAATGTAACAATGTTGTGTAAAAGATTCAACTCAATCCCTACAGTCCTTTAAGCTAAAGATGAACGCTGGCTCTGGACTGCTCCTGTGTTTGGCGATTTTGTGGTACACTGTGCAGTGCCGCGCGATTCGAAACTTCAAAAAGGGTCCAAAAAGGCACCTCAACTGGGGTTCGTACCACAAATGTACTGTTATGCAAGTGGAGTGAACGGCCTGAATTTTCATGGTTTTTACCCATTTCAGTGCTTTGGGGGCAAAGCCTGGCCGAAATCCTATTCTTGTTACGGCTTGTTTTATGGAGAAATAGACTTCAAAAACACGATTGGAAAAACATTCCATGGGGGATTGCCAAAAAATTGTGACGAAAAACTCGAATTTTGACCCGTTTATAGGCAAAAAGCTAGGATATCATCTTTTTCTGAATGGACTGCAGACGAATGCTTTGAAAAAATTTGAAGTGTGCATGGATGAAATAAATAGAGGGAAAAAATTGAAAACAATAGAAAACGCAACAGAAATCCAGAAAAAACCTAAGCAGCCACACAAAATCACAATCCGACCAACAGCAACAAATAGTCAGAGAATGGAAAACAAATCCTAGCACAAATCGCACACAAGGAAACCAAAATCTTAACAATCCTGCCAGAGGCTGCTTAAAAAGCTCCAAAATAACTAAAAAGGACACAGCGAAAAACACTCTTGTTTTTGTTTTTACTTTTGCAGGTATAAAAAATGAAGAGCGAAGCGTTATCAAAACTAGTAAAGTCAGTGAATGACAGTTCTGTCACCCGCCTAATAAAACACTCCTTAGACTAAGTACTTACTGAGCTTTGGAGGTCAACAGCGAGTACGTGTAGGTGCGTATTGACTTTGCAGTTCCAACATTTCCTGTTTCAGCCCAGCGTTACATAATAACTTCTATGCGCTCTAAAGGTTGATGCCTGTTAAAAAGCACTCGAACCTAGTATTTTATGTTTTAAACGACGTGTATGATGCCATAGGTGACGCCCGCCTTGGCACCTTCTTTTGACCGCGCTAGATGTCAGGAACGATAATGATAAAATCATATGATGCACTCGCGGCCACCTTCTGTCCCCATATGCTACCTCATGCCTAAGGTCTAAGCTGAAGTTTTAGTCATCTATAAGTACTAGGGCAAGTTGAATAAAACGACAAATCTTTGATTCTAAGTACACCAATTCCTCTTTATGATGGTCCGCTAGCGGTAACAACTGCTATTGTAGCTTGCCTCCAACACGCTATGAAAGCATACATTTAAACCTACAATTTCTCTTACAAGCCCATCCCTTTTTGCTTGATTTGTTCCAGTACCTACGCAATCTCTAAATACTGGCGCGTGGATTCCAGTTCCGTACGAAAGTTCATTTCAAACCAGACGGAAAATGCGATGTTTCATTTTCCGCAGTGTGCGGACTGCAGCTGAATTATGTCATGTTGTTGTATTCTTTTATTTTTGACTGAAGAAAAAATTGACTGTCACCACCAGGACACGCACCAGGGACCCTTGCGATTATTTTATTTCAATTCGCTAAGGGCACAGGCAATACTGCCTTCTCACCGGACAAAGGATTCTCCGGTTCCTATCAAAAATGAGAAATCTGCGATATGAATGTGTATGAGAAAAATATTAGAAAAATGAATATTGACGATGTCGGATTACGAATACCAATAACGAAGGCAGCGCGAAGCGCATCTGGCCCATAAAAAAGAGATCATAGTTGCATACTTTTGTTTGTGCACTCTTTGCTATTAGCTAGAACGATTGTACTGCATTTGAACATATTTTAGAAGACCGCAATGTATGATGACATACGTGACACCCAACTTGGTAGCTTTCTTTGACAGCGCTAGATGTCCGGAAAGCTAATGATAACATCCTACGGTGCACTCGCAGTCACCTTCTGTCCCCGTATGCTAGCTCATGCTGAAGGCTAAGGCTGAGGTTTGGTTTATCTATAAGTACTAGGCCAACGTGAATAAGACGACAAGTCTTTGATCTGAAATAGACGATTTAATGTTACTGGTGGTTATAGGGGAAGGAGAAACATAATTTCTAACCGATTTCAAGGCCGATGGGTTTGTGTTCCTGCTCAATGGTATTCTTATAGATCCCATCAATGGCGAGATTGTTGATGGTCCAAGTCCTCTTGCTAGCTATCAGTACCTCCGTACAGGCTGCCGGATGCGTATCCACTGTCACGTGCTCGTGTACCGCAACCGATTTCATCTGCAACCAGCATCAAATTGTTTCAAATATGCCTACGGACATCCCGGTCACTGTTATCAATATGTAAGTTTCATTATGCCCCATGCATATGGAAATTTCTTACGTGTATTTGAAGCCATCTACTGTTTGCTAATTCCACCCCAGAGCCATTCATCGTACATGTAATAGAGCTCCGTTCAGTTTTCTTCTGACGAGTTTTAGAAATCCTGAAAGCTAAAATAGGAGTAAAGTGATAAACATAGAGATGAAAGGCTCCTTTTACTGGAGTGGAGTGGAGTAAAAAAAACACTAGCCATGCAAGCTTCAAAGTAGGACTTGTCTAACTGCGGGTAGCACAAGGAGCATGACTGATAATGATTAAAAAATTTAGTAGGAACATGTATGGTGGAAGATTCCGACTTCCTCCTCCGCTAACTGCGCTGCGGATGTCCTACTATGCCTCTTGATTTGAATCTCCAGAAATCGGCCTACGATTGTCCGGCTTGAAACAAAGTCATACCGAGGTCACGCTCTACCTCCGAGCCCTAATTTTCCCCTCGCCGTGTAATAATAATATTAGCTAATCATTTGAATAAAGATCGGTACCAAAATGTATACGAGTGCGATAAACAGCATTATAATTTAGGCCAGTGCATACAATACCGTGTCTAGGGGCAAATGTTTGGAAAAAGAGTTTTTCACACAAGCGGAAAAACCGTCAGAGATCAAATTCCATTACACAGTGTTTCACCGTTCAAGCAACGGATCATCAGATGGGTGATCAAACAAAGTATGATACACTGGTTATATACTCAGAAGGTGTGAACTCCGTCACTATGGAGTGTGAAAATTATCATTATGTCGGGTGCCGGATGTGACAAGTCCATTTTTCATGATGCATTGTACAGAGTGCCTAGGTGCTAGATGAAACACTGTGTAACGGAATTTGATCTCTGACGGTTTTTCCGCTTGTGTGTGATGGAGCTCTGCCTCGCTTGCATTGAGCACTCTCCGCAGTTTGAGACCATTCCCTTGTGTGAAAAAGAGTTTTTCTAAAAAATCTATCACAGGGGTCTACAGAACACCACTGTGGAAGATAAAGTTGGATATCACGAAAGAAAGTACACAGAGACCATGATTTCTATGGCATTATCCAACGAGGAATACGCCTTGAAGTATGCATTATCAACAGCGTCGTTGGAAGCAGTAACAATTTTGGCATCAGCCTTCAGTATTGGGCAAGACATTCCATGAAGGCTGCCGTGTCCTGCAAGTGCAAGTACTTGCACTTGCAGGGTCGAGCTGATATTGCCAAATGCATGACCGCCGCATGATTTTTTTGCGGGCAATATGCGACCTGTTCATATTATTATTGTTAACATGGTCACGGAGTGGTTCCGTTGTCGAAATATTTCATCGTCTGCACGAACAGAACGAATATCATCCCGGAGTAGCTCACACTTGTTGCACACATCCATCCGTCGTGTCATGAACTAGATGGACTTGCACTTCTTAGTCCACAGGTACAAATATACACAGTAACCCAAGGTTTTCGCTTCACCAGACTGCTTGAAATAGTCCGAAAGAACAGGCAGCATATGCTGGCAAGCTTTTGGGAGATTCCTCACCTCTCCTTCTGGATGCTGCAGGCAAAGGGTGACCGAACACTAAGCTGTAGGTCATGATGATTTTTTTACAACATACACAACTCACCGGCAAGCACATGGGGCTAGCACGGGGTGAGAGGGTTCTTGCGGAGCCTGCCATACTCAACTGGCCAGAGGTCTCGGCATCTTCAAATGGCAGTCGCACCAAATTTGGGAGGAAAGCAAAAACACAAGGGGGAATGGTACGAGAGAAAAACTGCGAAGGTCTGTCTCCCACTTCAGCCGTAAATTTATTCCAAGGCACATTGCCAATTTTCCATGTGCACCGGGAGGATAGCTATCGAAGCATGATGCGCGTCCCTTCCGTTGCCCAAGCTGAGGCCCGCCAGTCACACGAGCAGTGCAACCGGTACACCAATGTAAAAGGTCGAGTCGCTTCGATTTCATCCCGGAGATAGGATTCCGCTCAACGTTGTTGTATTCTTTTAATACAATTCGCTCAGGGCACAGGCAATACTGCCTTCTCACCGGAGAGAGGATTCTCCGACTCCTACCAAAAACGAAAAATCTGCGATATGAATATGTACATGTATGAGAAAGATATGAGAAAAATGAATAATGATGATGTTGGATTACGATAGTTTAGTTGTTATGCAAGAGTTCCCTGACGATTAAAGATAAAGCGTGTCTGGAGGCAAATGTCGAGAAAGGATGCGAGAAAAAATACAGCGTTCCGGAAAGGCAATGGTGCACATAAATAGAGCATAAGGCAATGGTGCAGAAAGAGGTGAGAACTTACAAACAAGGCAATCGTGCAGAAAAGAGGGAACTGAACACAAGAACTAGCGGTTCTAGAGGCTAAGACACAAAGAGGTAGGGACCAGCGAATCAATACAGTGTCAGATAGTGCTCATGAATTCATCCTTTCGTGATACACATCTAACTTCAGGCAACAACATATTCCTGGGAATGGCACCTTGGAAACGGATGGAGGACCGACGTGAAGCTGCTGATATGGTAGTTCTGAACGCAGACACAGCCTTCAAGAATCAGTGAGTCCATGACGGGAATACTCTGAAGCGCCTCCTACTCAATGTCAGTTGCAGAGTCCCCAGAATCTCCGCCTGATTCTACCGCACTTGACTCACCTCCAAATTCAACGCACGAGCCTTTAATCGCGGACGCTTAGCTGGGGCTTCACCAGAGTTATTGTGAGCACTACAACTGCTAGTTGCTGACTCCTCCTACGTACAGTACGCCAAATGGATTGTTGTCTTCCTCCTCAATAATAAATGTGCCGGTCACTTGGGACGCGCCGAGGATAATCACGCGAGCTGTACAGCTCGACCGAAGTGTTGCTCGCGTCTGCCACGAAGTCTGTCTGGTCAGAGGCCCATCCCTCGAGTGCTACTTCTAACTCCTTCTGCTTTGCCACGTCCATGATGATTGACGAAATTCGATCGCTTGTCACTTCTCTTGTGGTCTTCAGATCGATTCAGTTTTGTCGACAAAATCAGCGATCAAGCAACAATAAAATTAAACTCTTTTTTCGGGGGGATTTTATCAAAATTCTGAAAGAAATAGGTTTCCCCAAAAACACGTTTTCACATACTCAGTTTGTCCTGCTCAGGCGACCGGGCACGGAGCTGCCACCTGGCACTGCAGTCAACTGGCAGGGCACTTCCATAGTCCCATCTGCTTACGCTCGGTACTTAGGAATACTGGTTGACGAACATCTGTCTTTCTCAACCCAAGTGGATGCAGTATGTGCAAATGTCAATAGGAAGGTCGGAGCATTTGTCCATGCAAAGCAGAATATCAGCATTTTTGGCGAACGACTTTTATATTTATCGATCATTCAGTCCACTTTTGAGTTTGGCAGCACTGCATATATTCATTGCTTATCACAAGCCCTATATGACAAGCTTCTTACTGCCAGCCGCGTAGCATTAAAGAGGATATTTTCGACTCCCACCACTATTCTATACAGTCATACTAACTTGTACGCCCTTGAGAAACGCCTCAACTTCAAAACCTATGTATTTGTTTACCGCTGCCTAAATGGACTTGCTAGTCCTCTTCTGCGAGACCGCTTTACCTTGCGCGCCCATGGTGCTCGCACTGCAGGCACCACCCGTGGCCAAGTCTCTGCTGCTCTTGTTCTTCCCCCCGCTAACACCCGATATGGCTTTAGTGCAATTTCTTATTTGGGCGCTGCCAGGTGGAATACACTTCCACCGGCTTGCCGCATGTCTAGTTCACCAGCTGAATTTCGCTCATCAATCAAATTATACCTAGGGTTCCCTGTAAAAAGGCGCTGACGCCTGTTGGGAATTCCCTAGTAAAAGAAGAATAAATAATAATAATAATAATAATATTAACTGGTTTGAGGGAAAGAGACAAACGGGAAAAGTCTGAAGAAAAAATTGACTGTTGTTGTTGTTGTTGTTGTTGTGTTTATTTTAATTCGCAAACCAAACGGGCAGATCTGCCCAATGAAAAGGTGGCGAATGCAGATAGAAAGCAGTAATAAATGAAATTGGGGACTGATGTAATTAGGATAGAGGTGGAGAAAAACTAAGCCAGCTGATCATCAAACAGGACGTCTGGTACTCTAGGTACTAAGGCCAGTAAGTGTGTGCGGGATCATGCTGGCGCGGAACTGGCGGAGCGTGGAGATGGCACGTATATCGCTGGGTAATGTGTTCCACAGCTGGGCGCCCCGGAACGCGAGGCAACCCTTGCCGAACCTGGTGGAAACTGGCGGTTGGCGCAGACCCACTGTCACCACAAGGACTCGAACCAGGGACCCTCGCTTGTAGCCAGCGATGCTCTAACCACTGAGCTATGGTGTAGTCGTCATCCCAGCAGAGATAATAATAATAATAATAATAAACATACAATGGCCTATGTTGTCGAGATGCGAGCACGTGGCCTAGATTATTCAGCACAGCATACGTGGCAGGCGTCTGCAATTGCCCAGGTATATTTCTGAATTGGGAAGTATTACGAAAATGACTCATTGTTTCATTAATTGTGTCTTTTCCTCAAACTAGTGATATTTCATTAATATTAATCTTTTACCACATCATGATCCTGCCAAAAATGGATGTCGTAACAACCAATAAAAGTATCTGGAAGTGTAGTTTATTGAATGCTTTGAATTTGTTGTTGCAGTGTAATACGACACAATCAGCTAGCTAATCTTACTTCAGGGCAGATGGACAACTTCACCAGCCTCAGGAAGCTGTACGTATTACACTCATACAATTAAATGCTTACCTAGCCGTTTCAGGGAAAAATGTCGAAGAATGATAATGGTGGCAGCTGCTCGATCCTTGTGATATGGCTTTTGTTAGTGCATGTACGTGTCCTTGGAGTTTCGGTACTTAGCGCAAGCGCTGTTGCCATGTGAACTACCAAACTCAAGCCACGACATGAGAGCATAACCTAAGCAATATTTAGCTGACTGCAGTATATTCATACAGAAAACAAGCCTCGATTGTCCTTGTTTTTCTGTTCTGTATTACTCTCTGCCTCTGCGCTATTGAGCACTGTCAGCACGCTGGGTACGTGCTCTGGTACATAACACTCATGCAAATATGAACTTCTAGCGTTTGGCCATAAGTGGGTCTAACTTCCAGTTTCTTTAAAACAAATTCTGCCCCCTGGAAGTGTGGAACAGCCTTTCAGCAGAGATGCTCGTCAACACCGAGGATATGAAAATGCAAGCGTTCAAATCGAAAGCTCACACGGATTTGCGTTAGACTTACCTGTCTTTATAAATGTAACTTACTCTCTCTCTCTCTCTCTCTTTCTCTCGCTCTCTCTCTCTCTATCTCTCTCTCTTTCTTTCTCTTTCTCTCTCTTTCTCTCTCTCTCTCTCTCTCCCTCTCTCTCTCTCTCTCTCTCTCTCTCTCTCTCTCTCTCTCTCTCTCTCTCTCTCTCTCTCTCTCTCTCTCTCTCTCTCTCTCTCTCTCTCTCTCTCTCTCTCTCTCTCTCTCTCTCTCTCTCTCTCTCTCTCTCTCTCTCTCTCTCTCTCTCTCTCTCTTACTAAGACTGTCAGGGACCTACGTGAGCTGAAGCTTGATACTTGAAGTCTTATTTGCCTTCTTTAATCTACTCTTTCTCATTTCTGTTGCATTTTCGCCTACTCTCATAAACCTATCATTCATAGTATACCCCCTTGGCTCGCCCAGTCCATGTTGATTCCCAGACCGGAATTGTCGGAGGCGTGCACCGCGCCTGACCAGAACAGCACTTGTAACAGCTACTACTTGTACTCCTTTGTTGTCTTTGTCAGTTGCAAACTAGCACCGGCGCTTTACACGCCACCAGCAAGAGGAGCAGCACCAGCACCAACTGGCACCGAAACTGCCCGCCGGTGCCCGTAATAGTGCTCTCCAATCATTCCCCTCTGCCATGATCTAAAAATGGAATAGTTTTTCCATCTGCTCAGTTATGTAACCTGCCCAAGTAGAAGGAATGCAGGCATTCAAGGAAGGCGCCTACAAGTCTCTCCCCAGTCGAGACTGGCAATCAGCCTCAGATGCAGTTTGAACCCTCCCTGAACTCTCTGCTTGCACCATGGCTCCCCCTTTTTACTCTATCACATGTGTCATCCTTTCATTTTTCACCCTCTATAGAAATGTACTCCCCTATACACAGTCCACACTAGGAATGAACTGTAAGTTCAAAGTTTAGATGGACGTCACTCCCTGTATAGAGTCCAGCCTTTTGGCTCCTCTATATAGAGTTTAAAGAAGAAGTTGGTACGACTTCTGTGATACTTGCGCAACTATGTGTTGCTGCCTACGTGGAAGCTTGCGCTATCCCTGCCGACTTTAATACTCACTTGACTGACTCACGGCTGCCAACCAGAGTACACAAGAAGTCCATCGAACCTTCCACTCTGCGGGCAAAACATCTCCAGGGTTACAAATATCACAGACACGCTCCTTTTCCGCGCGACAAACTCCTTGTGAAAAACAGATAGCGCATTAATAAGGTTCTGAGCAAACGCTGAGGACCGTTGGCCAAGCACAATGTTGCTGCCTCCAAACCATCTAATTCCCAAACCCGCGGCAGGGACAACAATGTGAAGAAGAGGTTGGTTCGACTTCTTCGAATTGTGTGTTGCTCCTTACTTATAGATAGGTCGCCGGGATCATGAGCTCTCGTGGATTTTCCAATGCACTCCAGAACTAAGATTGTTTTGGGTGCACTCTACCGGCCTGGCTATTGTGCAGAGACAGGTACTGTAAACCAGGAACGTCTAACGAGTCCCAAAGTCTAACGTTTTAACGACCAATTATTTTTCGTTATTTGAAAAAACGGTTATCGCAAGATATCTGTCTAAAGATGCACGTGCCGATGGGTGGCCAGCTAGCCATCGTTAAACTTTTTGAACGTTATCATGCCAAAATGCAAATACGTTAAACTGTTTGATCGTTAGACTTTCCGGTTTTACAGTACCAGCCTGGTGGACTACCTAGACAACCCGCTAGACAATGTCCGCCGTCTTGGCAGCAATGTGAAAATTGCAGGGGATCTCAACATGCATAATTCAGCCTTGTTGCAGAGTAGCTACACTACCCTAGCCGATGATGGCCTCGAGGAAGTCTGCGCACACATCACCTTATCCAACATGTCAACTAAGGGCAACAATGCTCTCGATCTTATCATCTCCGATTTCCCCCACCCCGTATGCACCACAGCCTATGCACCACTTGGACAACCAGATCATGCCATTGTCATTGGCGAGTTTCTCAAACAGCGTCCACACAGCTAATATCCTGCTGTTCGACCAGTTTGGAAATACGCCTTTGCTGACTGGCACCACATGAGAGGCTTCCTTCGAAACAAAGAAACAGTTTATACCATGCAAAGAGCTTGTGATACACCAATCCAACCCTGTATGGTGGACACTGGACTGTTCTAACGCCAATTATACCAGGAGCGGGCATGGAAGCTGTGGCGACGCGATATTCTCAACGATAACCGCAAAGGTTCAGTACTTCGCAACTGTTAACAATTAAGTAGAAACGTGCCATGCAGCACAATAAGCACACCCACGTGGAATTCGCAAACATCTCACTGCAGGTTCTCTCCGGGACAAAGAATGGTGGTCAACCACAAAGAGGGCAGCAGGCAAGGGACATTGCTCTGGCATTCCCCTGCTGACGAACAATGAATGACAAGAGTCCCACTCTTCTCCTGAGAAAGCCGAGTGCTTTGCAGCGCATTTCGCGAACAAGTGCAGGCTTGGCATTAACGACAGCTGTGCTGTTGACCTGCCTGACCTGCAACGACCTGCGTATGCCACGCTAAAGCACATTAACTTCCGCGCAGCAACTGTCAAACGGCCCTTGGAGAACGTGATGTATCAAAAGCAATTGAATCGGTTGGCATCTCTGCTGTTGTGCTCTAGATAGGCTCATCTGAACTTGGAGACCCTCTGAAAAAGCTCCACTGATTCTGTAATTGGTGCCAGCTGCCCGTATTTGTCCCTATATATACGGAAACTGAACTTTTGTCCGCAGTACGGATTTCAATCGAATTATCCCGAAAAAGCGAAAAAAAACCGGTGTCTTCGAAAGGAGGGAATATGACGCAGAAGACGCCCATCCACGTGCCATCGATGGATCTACATGCATCCAAAAATCGGATTGCACAGCGCATGCAGCCTGCAGTGCGCGCACTGTACAGGGTATGTACCCGTACATGCGCTGTACATGTCATTTGCATCATGCAGTGTACAAGTCATGTGCATGTTCATGCACAGTACATGTACATGTGCGTGATTGTTTTCTGATTTTGACAGCAAGTTACAAGAAAAAAATTCTACATCCTACCAACCCCTAGGCCCTAGAGTAAAGAGGGTCTGAACCTGGGGTTTTCCCAATACGGTTCAAATGGTCGCAAGACCAGGACTCTGGCAACCTGGTCATGGTTGTAGTCAGCTGCACACCATGCTGTGCAAACTACACATGCACACAAGTCACGGGGAGGTGAAGTACAATAAACTTGCTGATCTCGCTTTGCCGCTCCTGGCGATACTGGTGTCAAATGCGGACAGTGAGCGCATGTTCAGTTTGGTGCGATGATTCCGACGAATCTAGACGGATTTCAGGTCTCAGATCAGCACACAAACACTGTTAGCACTGATCCCAAGCCACTTCAACAAGAATGCAGCGTGCTGTGAAGAGACGAAGTTTGCGCAGTCACTTCGGACCCAAGCTAAGAAACATACAGGAGAGAAGAACAGGCGTGCTACGTGTTCAAGTAATGAGTGAATTGATTTGAATCAGTACATCATGATCAAGGAATAATTTAGTCTACAGAATAATTACATTACTATCAGAAATTTTAATTCGTACGTTTCACAATTGAACTCTGCGCCTGGAAAAGTTGGACAGTATCGATTTTTTCCCCAAATCACACTAATAATCAGTGAGAATGTTGACCTGAAAAAATACAGTACGGAAAGCACTGAAAATATTTGCAAAATGGCACTGGGAAATACGCATTGGGGTAGAGGGCACTTTGTACAACAAGAGTCTTCTTACACTGCTTCTAATCCGGTGTGCAACCCCCGGCATGGAAACTTGCCCATGATTGTAGTCCCTGTTTACAAGCGGTCCTCAAGGCGCCGTTTTCAGTTGTTCTTAATAGTTGCGGAGGTGGAACGGGCTATTCTAGAAGCGGATTTCTTCCATACTCATCACCTGCTCTTCGATATTCGTGGCAAAAAGATTGTAGATTGCCTCACGAACATATCAACTAATGCACACACCATGTTTACTGCTTCTCCTGTGCTTCATTTTGTTAACCTCCTTTATTCACCTCCTCCTGTCCATGAGTTTCCAACCACGTTTTCTGGCATTGCCCGTCCATTTTCGGCAGTACAAGAGAAATGCCACTCAGTTGTTCACCATATGACCACCAAGGGTCCACGCTCAAGTTCGCCGCCTCGCACCTGACAAGCTCCAGTCAGCCAAGGCGACGTTTCAACATAATAATAATTATGCTGGATCTCGGTATTATTCGTCCTTCGTGCAGCCCATGGTCTTCACAATTGAACATGGTCTGGCGATTGGCGGCCGTCCGGAGATTATCGCGCATTGAATAATGCCACTGTTCCGGACCGCTACTCCATTCCTCACCTGCAGGACTTCACAGGGCAACCTCATGGCTGCACAGTATTCTCTAAGTTGGACTTGGTGCCCGCTTACCATCAGATGACAACT